CATGTCTTTTCAATACATGGCGGGTAGGAGGCTGTACTGACGATTCCCACTCCTACCCGCATGCAGAGTCCGGTCTGTGTTTGCAGCTAAGGGATGAAATACAGACTGCATTGAAAAATATCACCTTGCTACATCTGTAAAATAAAGGCAATTTGCACCATTAAATAACACCTACACATGGCTTGCGTACAATCTTGTAATTCTATTATTATTTCGACTAAATTATCAAAATATCACAGTCTAGCAGTTTTTGTTTGCATTATAGGTGCATATCCGGACGAACAATCCGTTTGTGAGCGTCGATGCGGTGCAGTTCGTTTCGCCGCCCTTCAATTCGCTCTGCTCGCATTGCTTGTCGTATCGCTATCGGGTGTATCGTAATCCACCATTCCCGGATGGCTTCGTGGATACAAATAATCATTATTTAGTGGACAGGTTGCTGGCAGAATTGCTCAAATTTTTTGTTCTAAAACTGTTTTTACTATGGAAAAACGCTGGAGAAAAAAAACGCATTATGGCAAGACCATGCTTATATTTGAGTCTGTTTTGTATGTGACTGCGGGTTTCAACGCGCATCTGAAAGTTGATCTTTTTGCGACGAAATTCTCGGCATTTATGGCTGCACTTCTGAAATCAGCTTCTGTTCTTGTGCGAGCAGTTGACGGGATCTGTTTGTTTGGGTGTGTTGTATATCTTGGCTTCAAACTCCACGATTAGACAAACAGAGGCGATGAAATTTAGGAGCGCAGTTTTTGACTATGTGTGGCTTCAGAAAAGAGTGCAAATCGGGATCTAACATCAAATGTTTTCTGAATTTTTTGTATAAAAAGCTGTAGTGTTTCCTCCTTTGCTTAATTATTTACCACTTTTTATGCGTTTTTGCATGTATATAAATTGCAAAAACGCATACTGAGAACAGCTTGTTTGTGTGTGTGTGTGTGTATGTGTGTGTGTGTGTGTCTGTATGTCCGCACATTTTGTCACCCACTTTCAACACGAGAACCAGAAAAGCTAGAAGGCTAAAACTTTGGGAGTATCATGCGCGACCTTCCCGTTTTAATATCATCCCCTGAAGACGCCTGGGTGCCGCGTACGAACGCTTTAAAAAAATACGCGAATTTTTTGGCGTAAAAGCTGTCTCGGGAACCACATGAGCTAGAGGGCTAAAACTTTGTAGGGATATTCCCTGTGCACGTACTAGCTAGAGATTTCAAATTCAGCCCCCAGGTATGCGTGGTACTCACATCAGGGCGTATGAAAGTTTTAGGGGGAAAATTGCTAATTCGGGTACCAGGGAAGCGAGAAAGCTGAAATTTTGGGGGAATCTTTCCTATCGAAGTACAACTCAAATATTTCAAGTTCAGTCCCAAGGTATGAGTAGTACTTACATAAGGGCGTATGAAAGTTTCTGGAGGAAAGTTACTAACTCGTCAACCAGAAGAGCTGGAGGGCTGAAATTTTAGGCGGATGTTCCCTGTCTACATGCAATTTAAAAATTTCAAATCCAGCTTTCCAATCACGTGGAGTACCCAAGTACGTGTATGTAAGGGTTTTGGCGAGAAAATTGCTAACTCAGTAATTAGAAAAGCTGGAAAGCTGAAATTTTGAGGGGATGATCCCTGTTTAAGTACAACTTAAGTATTTCAATTTGAGCCTTGAGGTATGCGTGGTTCTTACGTACGGGCACTTAAAATTTTTGACGGAGAAATTTCTCATTGAACAGCTAGGTTATTTTTAAAGAGCGACCGTTAAACGGAAATTATACATATACTTTATGCAAAATTTATAGTGATTTACGCTAGTGACCGCAAAAGGTAGATGTAAAGCAACAACCATTCATGCAGTTAATGACCTGAGTAATTAAAGTCCGGTACAAAAAACACTTCATCGCACGGGTGCGCTTGGTGCTTTCCAGCCTGGGTTTTTCACACCTAACATTCGCATATATTTTTCAGTACAATTCGAGAGGGAGTTATTTATGCTTATTCGGTAGCTGTAGTGAATGAAGCCGGGATTGAGGGTATACACTCACCAAGCGCTTCCTTCTCGCTTAGCATGAACGTATGCGGTGATGGGATCAAGGGTAGCGACGAGCAGTGCGATGATGGAAATTTGTATGATGGCGATGGATGCTCGCAGCAATGCACTGTTGAGGAGAAATTTAACTGCATTCAAGAAAACAAATGTATGCTTTTATTTTCCATGGTATTCGCAATTACCGTTGTAACGGGGTGGCAGCAGTGTTGGTTTGATCAGTCTTCTGGCCTATCGTGAAAAACTCGCGAAAGGCCGGCCAACAAGCCGAAACAAAAAGGAAGATGTATCTTACTTCAAAGGCAGATGCACAGAAGATGTGTAGCAAGGCTGAACCTGGAGCACAAGGATCGGTGGTGTAGTGGTAACGCGTTGCATCAGGAAATAAAGCTAAGTGGTTCGATTCCGTCTCGGTCCGGAACAATTTTCGAGAAAAGGCTCCGTTCACGAAATGTCCACTTTGAAATTCTTTTCATCTGGTGTAGGAATTACGGTCTCATCGATTATTTCTTCAGAAACACGAAGCACGATTTTAGCTATTTTGAGATGTCCGTAGCGTATTGTTGAGCTTACCCATTTCATACAGAATGCTGTCACTGCTAGACCATGATGTGGTGTCTTACCGATTGGTAGGAGAAGTAATCTATGTTAAATATTATGCTAATTTTTTCGATGTTTTTTTGTGTCCATAATTTCATGATAAAATGTTTGTTGGTAAAACAAGTGATTATTTCAAAGAATTGGGGAGTAAAGGCAAGGAGGGCACTAGTAATTCAGAGAGTCGAACTGATTAGGAATTTTAAGCTGTAGCTGTATAAACATTCAGAAAGTTGTAAAGTAAATGAACGTAGCAAGTTATTCGGTTTGCAGTTTCACCGAGTCTTTGCTACATTTATGAGGGTGATGGCGAATGCGAACACTTCGAGCACGATCGTAAGAGCCGAGACTGTAGCAGTGTTAGCTCAGCGAATCATCGACAGTATTATCCCACTTCCGTTTATGCCTATTCATCGATACTTCGGAAGAACTGCTCACTGCAGATGCTTTCGTCGGCTACTCTCACTTTGGTAAGTTTTTTCTCCAAGATTTTTTTGAAGTAGGGTACAGAACAGGCCTGGAGTGTGAATGGTATCGAGGTTAGTGACGTTATTGTGCTTCCTTGTTTTTTGAGCTCGGTCTTGCAGCTGAATTTAGCGCCTTCAGCCTTTGCCGTTGCCCTTTCACGAGATTATGTGCTATAATATTGGACGTCGCTTTTCGCAAATCCTCAAAATTTTCATATTGTGAAAATTAAATAAGAAACTGTTGGAGTACTACTCGAATTTTTATAAAATGTCGTTTTCAGGGTTGTAACGTCCGATCTTCTGCTTGGGGTGTATGTTCGGCGCTTGCAGATGCCGGCGAGATTTCACTTCATGCTTCTTTTTCCGATGAAATTTTCCCGGCCGCTGTTGTAATCGGATTTTCAACTATCGTTTCGACAGGGTTCCGGCCGTTCTTATCAATTTTTCGTGTCAGTTTACAGTATTCGAATAGAACCACAACGAATTTAGAAGGTTCTTCATTCAAATTATTACATCTGTAAAAGGGGATTATTTAGAAAATTTAAGAATTTTTTTTAATTGATACTGCGATACAATATAAATACTCGTCAAACAAACATGTTCGCATATCATATATTTATTTAAAAATTGTGCAGGATTACACTAATTTACAATGCTGCTGAAGGAGAAATCCCCGGAAGGGGGGGGGGGGGGGGGGGGGGG